ATATATATATATATATATATATATATATATATATATATATATATAACTGAAAATGATTTTTTCATGCAATATATTCAGATCACAGTTTCCAGTTTCCCCTCACCCAAATCCTCCCCATCCACCCAACTCCACACCTTCTTTCTCTTTAGAAAACAGTGAAACAAAAAAAGGAACTAAACCAGAACTTTAAAAAAGAGAAGGCTCAGTAAATACAGGCTCACACACAAAATTAAATTTTTGGAAATCAGAAAGGAATGAAAATAAAAGTAACTATGAGGCTGCCAGAATGAACAGGGTTCTAATTAGATTTAGTGGCTTAGCCAAGCTTTTCTTTCTTTGGGTCTCTTAAGCTGAGACCCAATGGAGCAGAATCTATAACAAAACAATGAAGAGCATCAAGAAGATAGAACGGCATTTGAAGGAACATGCCACAAATATACTCGTGCATGCTTGGGTTAATTCTGATAATCCTTGAATGCGTATATATCCCTACATCCCTCACAAATACCGTGTTAAAGAGGTGGTTTTAGGAAGGTTCTGTGGGGCTGGAGAGACAGCTTAGTGGTGAAGAACACTTGTTGCTCTTGCAGAGGACCTTTTTATTTCCCGTCACCCTCACTGGCCACTCACATCTGCCTGCGTCTCCAGCTCCAGAGACCCAATACCCTCTTTTGACCTCTTAAGTACATCTGCACTCACGTGCACATACCCACACACAGACACACAGACGTAGGTGAAATCTTTATGGGGCTGCAGAGATGGCTCATTGGTAAGGAGTATTTGATGCTCTTGCAGAGGACCTGGGTTGAGTTCCCAGCACCCATGTGGTAACCTCTTTTTTTTTTTAATTTTTATTTACTTATTTGTATTTTAATTGTTTGGTGTTTGAAGGTGTCAGATTCCCTGGAACTAGAGTTGCAGACAGTTATGAATTGCCATGTGGTTGCTGGGAATTGAACTCAGGACTTCTGGAAGAGCAGCCAGGGCTCTTAACTGCTAGCCCATCTTTCCAGCCCATGGTAACATCTTTTAAACACCCTCTCCTGGTCTCTGCAGACTTTCACACACACAAGGTACATAAACACACACTCTGGCACACACACACACACACACACACACACACACATATACATAAAATACACACACACATCTTTAGAAAAACCCTACCACATTTGGACAGCAATAAACAAGAATCTTTTCCAGATCTACATCAAAAGGCCTAAATCAGGAGTAGGAGGGTGGCTCAATACAATTTGTTGGACAAACATGAGGAGCAGAGTTCAGATCCACAGTAGCCATACGTTTATACATAGTGGGTATGTATGTTTATCTGTCTGTAACTCCAGTCTCAGAAGGCCAAGGCAGTGAGCACCCGGAACAAGCTGACCAGTTGTGTGAGTAAGCTCTGGGTTTATGGTTGAAGAGGAAATAAGACTGATTCCCAACATCAACCTCAAACCTTCACGTCCACATACAAACATGTGCCCACAAACATGCAAAGCCATGCATACCTATGCATACCACGCACACATGAGAAAGGGAAAAAAGTACATCAGAGTAAGAGGTTAAATTATTTACGAAGAGGGGTTGTGGGAAAACACATCAGATGCCCTAGGGCTGGTAGTGTGGCTCAGTGGAAGTGTCTAGCGTGTGGAAGATTGATTTTGATCTTTAGAACACATGGATTGCACATGCACTCTACTCCCTGCTCAGAATATTTTAATATGCCCAAGCCACATGTCTAAGATCCAGCGCCTACATAGTATTACACAATTGCCCATGTCTCTGTTCTCAGGCAAACAGGCACTCAGATGCCACGTGTAAGGTGGAGACTCCATGTTGGAGGCTTTATGTGGGTATACACTATCGTATGCCCATCTTTTTTGTTTGTTCAGTTTTTTAAAACAGGGTTTCTCTACGTAGCCCTAGATGTCCTCGAAATTACTCTGTAGATCAGGCTGGCTTCAAATGTAAAGATTTGCTGGCCTCTTCCTCCAGAGTGCTGGGATTAAAGGTGTGTGACATCACCACCTGGGCTTTCACATGCCCATCTTGGTGTGAGGGGAAACCGTATAGTGCCAGAAGACCAGATTACCAAATCTTGGAACACCTGAGACTCCAGTTAGGACCATGGAAGATGAGGTATGAAAAGGTCTTATGGAACTTTCTGCTAAGTTCACGTTTTCTCTTTCCCTTAGATCTGTGGGGTATTTGACAAGCTCTGGCTCAGATCTAAGGATTCAGCTTTTTATGTAAAAAGCTTCTTTGCTTAAGAGCTAGAAACTTAACATTTCTATCTTAAAAGTAGGGTCATTGAAAGAACAGGAGAAGGGATTTGTAACAGAATGTTGAATCTGTCGTGGGACACATAAAGCAACTGCAAATTTTATTCTAGAAATAGAAGTGTGTGTGTGTGTGTGTGTGTGGTCCTGGGGGCTAAACCTAGGGCCATGTTAAACACTCTACCATTGAGCTATATCCCAGGCCCAGAAATCCTCTCTAAAATCCAGTCTTCTGTGCAGTGAGATCCAAAAGAATTTAATAGGAACCTGGCAAAAAGTCTCCTGCAGAAGAGTGTTAGTTCATTCAATAAACATTTATTGAGTATCAGTTATGTAGTAGGCACTGGGCTAAGAGCTCAGGAGACCGTGCTGCTGAACAAGCTGATTGGTCTCTGCCCAGGGGGTCTCATGACTTATCAGAACAGTCAGGAATCACGAATCGGTAATGCAAAACTGTTCATTAAGGTTTAGGAAAACGACTATGGCAGAAAGAAGCACCGAGTGTTACAAGATTGTGTAACAGGTCAGACCTGAGGCAGTCTGGCCTGGAAACTCTCATGAGGACGTGAGCTAGCTAAACTAGAGTGTTGGCCAGATAGAAAACCCAATGATATCCAAAAGTCAAGAGAAACCAGCAATGACAAAACCATAAAGAGTTAGGCATTGTGTATAAGCATCAAGATCAGTTGACCCTGGATCAGCAGCAGACTGCCAGTTGTCCTTCTGGGTTTAGTAAAACTGCTGGTTCCCAAACAGAATGAGGGCCAGTGTGTGCATCCCTGCGGAGACTGATTGGAAGCAATGGTCTTCATGATGTTGACCCGTGGTAACTCCAGCAACTCCAGCCTGGACGGCAGATAGTGTGAGTTCCTTTACTGAAATTCCTATTTGTGTGTTTCTTATTCTTTCCTGTATTGAATGTTGAATCATAGTTCTTAAAGGATAATTTTATAATGTTGACAGCGCTAATTTGCATTTAGAAAAACACCGGGCGGTGGTGGCACACGCCTTTAATCCCAGCACTTGGGAGGCAGAGGCAGGCGGATTTCTGAGTTCAAGGCCAGCCTAGTCTACTGAGTGAGTTCCAGGACAGCCAGGGCTATACAGAGAAACCCTGTCTCGAAAAACCAAGAAAAAAAAAAAGAAAAGAAAAGAAAAACAAGAAAACAAAAAAAAGTTAATGACCTAAATGAACCACTAGAGGTCGCCTGTGACACCCTCCCGCTCCCTACACACATACAAACACACAGAGCTGACAAACATGTTTAGGGGTTCACTTGGAACTCTCCTCCCTGTACGTTTTTGTTGCTCATTTGCTTGAGTTGCAGCTGGTTTGAGTTTTTATTCAAATACCTGATACTGATTCTTTTTCTTTTTCTAAATCAAATGAGCAAACGACCTCAGAGAGTTGAAGCCTCCCTTAACCTCCATGTTGCTGGATCCAAGGGCAACTTTCAAGTCTTCCGGCTTGACGTTCTGACAGCATTTATATGGCCTATCTTCACCTCAGTGAACCACTTTCTATTTTAAAAATATTTATTTGATGATAATGACGGTGGTGATGACAGCAATGATGATGATAGGGGACATACAGTGATGTGTGTAGGGGCACATATGCCCGTGTGTGTGTGTGTGTGTTGAAGGGCAGATCAG